AAAACAATTAAATTTGGTTTAATTTCGATATTCAAAAAAAATGTTTTTTGGAAATTAAAAAAAAATTTTTCCAAAAGCAATCGTTTCGTCAAAACAAGCAGTAAGTTTTTTGAATCATTCAAATCATGCTTAATTCTCTCAAAAATGCCATATTTCGCACATTTAGCTTGGTATTTCCGAAACGGCTGGACCTGCCTTTGCCAAAAACTAAACAAAATATCTCCCAATCATTACAAATTGAAAATTTTTCGGATCATTTAAATCAGACACTTCGTTCTCTCAAAAACTCGATTACTATTTTCGGCACTCTTAGCTCCGTATTTCCGTAACTGCTAGACCTGCCTTTGCCAAAAACTAATCAGCACATCTTCCTATTAATAGAAATCAAATGTTTTTTAAATCATTCAAATCGGTTAATCCGTGTGCCCGAAACCGTGGACGAATATTTGCTGAGGTATGCCAAAATGTTCAGAAACTACTGAAACGTGAACATAAGCAAACATTTTCATTTTCGATTTGGACATTTGATATAAAATTGAACAATCATAATACGTCCAGTTCATAAGATCTGACTATAACTTTTATTTGTATTACATATAGTTTACATTGATTTGTGATAAGAATTTCTGGCACCATATAGTTATGAAATTAATTTTATTTGATTTGGTAGAGGAATAGTTATAGTGTATATATAGCTTTATACCGAAGAAATAGAATCAGCTTTCTAAAAAAAACTGTTATAACAAGCCTCCAGCTTCACTGTTCAATATTTATGGTACAAAACATATAGTAAATGAGCATAATATTTTTTTGAAAATATTTCTATTAAAGCGTAATACTGAAATGTGCTCTAAGTTGTGTACCTTATTATAAAAAATAAATCCTTGTCTATGTATTCCGGTGTACTTATCTAAATTACAAAAACTTAAAACTTCTCATGTTTTGACTTGCATCTCAAAGAAGGTTAATGTTTCTTTGAAGCTTTAAATAACGAAAGACTTTGCGTTGCATGTCCGTGTTAATTTTAATCAAAACGCAAGACATGAAGTGAAAACAGTCGCCTCTTATCAGTCTTGGGAGCATTAATTAATTTAATATTTATTATTAATAACAACAACGTAATTCATTTCACTAATCTTGCTGAGAAACTTTAAAACACGACGCGAGGGAAAAGTTTTAGAGTTTGTACGCATCCAGAGATAATAAGACTGGAAGAAATTGAAGAGTTTAATGAAAATGTTTTTTTGATAACTTTTTTTTGAGTGCTCTTGCTATTAAGATAGAAAGCTGTTACAAAAATAATATAAAAAGCTTATTTCCAATAGTTCTAAATTAAAGTAAAAATTTATTTATTTCTACTACAATTCGAAAGAATTTCTGCATTATATAGCTTGGTTCACTTTCAACATTTAAATCGAAGATAATTACAAACTTTGAAAATGCTTTTGATTGGAAAAATCTTATTTATGATAATAAATATAAATATTTTCTATATTACACAAAATGTTAATTTCTGTAAGTCAGTTTATACCCTTTATAAATAGTCACCCTCTTTCTAGATGTATTTCTACTACGTTCTTTCAAAAATAAGTACAGATATGTTCAGTGCTAAGAACTATTCATAAAAATCTAAGTTTTATCATAAAAAATATAATATAAGAAGCTTACAGTATTTCAGTTGCAAAAACGTGTGTTTCTTTACTAAAGATTATATTTTCTCTACAAAAACGAGATGTATGGTTTGCAAAAAGCTTACAGACTGAAAGACGTGCTTTATATCAAGGATAAAAATATATGCTATTAAATAAGATGATACTAATACGTTTAAGTAGTAATGATTCAAAGAACTCAATCTGAGTTATATATAACTATTTATTTTCAATCACGACTACTGCCTATATCATCAAACTTAAATTTCCTCTTTGAACGCATATCATATTTATATACAGAAAAGGGTTGATGCTATAATGAGTACACTGATCGTTTAGGTATATCTTAAAACATAATCTAGTCCCTAAAATTTGAGGTGTCATCAATCTAAGATAATAGTATTAGAAACTTTGTTGTGTATGTAGCTCTTTAAACGTTATAGTTTCCTGGATAGACCTTAGATATTATCTAACTCATTTGGAACCTTTTAATCTAATAAAGTTAACAAGTTTTACCCCTATGAAGTATGACAGTATTGATAAAAAATTTAGCTTAAAAGATAATTCAGTTAACATTTGAAATTTAAAATATTTTTTGCAAATATCAAATACCCTGCATTTATTTAATTAAATCAATAAAAAAACACTTACAGAAGCTATCATTTCTCCAAAATTTAATTTTATGAATTGTTTAACAGGTCGCTATTAAAATAGTTATCCTGTCAGAGTATAAAGTGATTAGATATTTTGTAAACTTTTAAATATATTATAAACGTGATGATTAGTATAAATATATTGGCAACAATATGTATTTTGGTAATATTATTGAAATTATTTAATAGCTCTCTAAAACGATATTTATAATCATGGTCATAAATCATAGTCATTTAAGCTACAATATTAATTATTAAATATTTACTTATTTAAAAACAATACTTCTATTACTTTGATACCTCAACTCGCGCTTCATAGTACAGCGCCTATTTGACTATACCCGAAAAAAACTCTGCATAATTATGGAAAAAAATTTATTGCACACATTCTGACTAGTGTTAATTTTTTTTGGAGCCCGAATGCTTTCAAAGCAAGGGTCAATAATTCACCATGAAATAAAAAAAAACATATAAAAAATTATAAACCTACCAGAAGTAAAAAATACATATACAAAATTATAAACCTACCAGAATCAATTGATTGCTTTTTTAATTATTAACTTCCCGTAAGGTAAGTTATTGTAATCGTCCAAAAATCGAAATTGAAAATTTTTCCATTTCTCGACTTTTTGAAGGTTTCTGAACATTTTGGCATACCTTAGGGCGCACGGATCAACCAAAATTGAATGGTTCAAAAAATAATCGATTCCTATTGATAGAGAGATGTGCTAAATAGTTTTTGGCAAAGGCAGGTCCAGCAGTTACGGATATAAAGAGCAAAATGTGCAGAAAATAGAAATCGAGTTTTTGAGAGAACGGAGCATCCGATTTGAATCATCTAAAAAAATATTTAATTAGTAATGATTGGGAGAAGTGGTTACAAGTTGTTATTAGTTTTTGGCAAAGGCAGAACCAGCCATTCTGAAGATACAAAGCTAAATGTGCAAAAAATTGCAGTTTTTAAAAGAACTAAGCGTCTGATTCAAATGATTCACAAAACTTTCTGCTTAAGGCACGACGCCATACACCCCACTAGTTATTTTCCGAAATCATTGAAAGCATCTACGTCTCAAATTTGCTTTGAGAAAATTATAAGCTGACACTATATTTAATTAATGTATATATTTAGTCGCAAGTAGATCATACACAAGAATTAGTATTCTACTTCATCCATGTTTATGTGATATTATCAGCGTACAACATATTTTTCTTCAATATTTATTGACATAGGTACAATTGGACAGAAAAGAGATAAAAAGTTTAAAAATTGTGATCAAACATTAATTAATATTTTTATATTTTATAACGACAGCGTTATACATTTTAAATAAAAGCTAGCCGTAAGTGGAATTCTGTCTTGAGGCAATTATGGCATCGTGCCTTAAGGAAAATTGCTGGAACTTCCCGTACCGTAACGAAATGTTCGAGGAATACTGAATGTTTTCAAATAGATTATTATAAATATTGTAAAATTGTCTAATATTTATAAGAATTATATAAACTGAATTGCAAATTTGAAACTATTTGTAAAGTATATTAGAACTATAGTCAGAATTAAAAAAATTAAAATTAAAAAAAAAGAAAAAAGAAAAAAATTCCAAAATCAATTATTTTGTTAAGACAAGCAGAAAGTTCTTTGAATCATTTAAATCGGACGCTTAGTTCTCTCAAAACCTGGCATTTTTTACATATTTAGCTCCGTATCTTCGAAATGGCTGGCCCTGCCTTTGCCAAAAATTAATAAACACTTCTCCCAATCATTACTAATTGAACTTTTTTTAGATCATTCAAATCGGATGCTCCGTTCTCTCAAAAACTCGATTTCTATTTTCTGCCCTCTTTGCCCTTTGCCAAAAACTAATCAGCACATCTCCCTATCAATAGGAATCGAATCGTTTTTTGAAACATTCAAATCGGTTGATCCGTGCGCCCGAAAACGTGACTGGAAATTTGTATCCCACACACACAACACACACACACACATCCATTTTTTCTGAGGTATGTCAAAAATGTTCAGAAACCTTCAAAACGTTGAGCAATGTAAAAATTTTCAATTTCGATTTTCGGCCCATTACAATAACTTACCCTACGGGAAATTAATAAAATCTACAAAAAAGGAAGAATAATTGTGTTCGCACATCGTTAGATGCATTTATTATAATCGCTATTTTGAATGATGTTTTAGACAAAAAATGGAGCATGAAAAATTTCTGATACTTATGTTATTATATACAAATAATATCATTTCTCTCAATTTGTTCCAGCTCCCTCATTACCCTTCTCAGGGCATAAGGCAGGGTTAAGGTGCTAAGCGTCAATCTAGCGGAACGTTTGCGATAAGACGTTAATTAAAGCGCAACACACGCGCTCGAGTTTTGATACCGTGGCGAGAAAATCAGACGTCCCGAATCTCAGAGAAACTTCTGTTCTGACAGGAGACAGACGGAGAAAGAAACGCACATAGCACTTGGAAACAATATGAACGTTTCGTGGAATGCTGATATGATGTATACACTAGGAGATATTTGTGTAATTAACCAAATAGTTGAATGACGGAAACTGAAATGAATTTGGAGGAAAGGATATTCATGTGTATACGTAGGCACTTAGAAAATTAAAGGAGCATAACCGGTGAGTTTGAGAATGCAGAGATAAATATAGTATAAATATTCATGACAAAGTTAAATAAGTGACTCACCTTTGCCGTCACCATTTTGCGTCTTTCCATTATCCTTACGCAGTAGACAGCCATATTCTGTAGCTTTGCTTCCTCCAGAGACTCCGCTCAGAGACGACGGCAAAAGCCTGAAAATATATTGAAAACTTGGTAATATGCACTTGAAATCGTTAATTTAGTTTGGAAATACAAATGCTTGTATTATATATAAATAATAAATGGAATTGTATATGAGAGGAAGCTATGTTTTGTTTATAAGAGATGCAAATGGAAAATTATCATGCAATTCATGTATGAAGTTTATTTTTTTTACCTGTAAGGTTCGTGATATACTGATGATGTTTCACTATCAGAATCTTCTGCCAAAGGCGCCGCATTTGGCGGCGGTGTCGTCACAGTTTGAGGAGCTGCGGCTGGGGACTGCCGGGCGACGTCACCATACGGTGGAGCCTTCAAGTAAGCAGACAAATTATTGTTACTAAAATAATGTTTTTTTTATGGGCATATAAAATAATTCTTCTTATTACCTTTAATGTCAATCTGGTTCGAGATGTAAGCACAGGTGTAGACAAATGCAACTGCAATTCTTTCATAGTAATCGTAGCAGCATTTCCTTGACACTGTTTGCCCCCGGTCAGTCCTGATAATCCTACTAAACCAGGTGCAGAAGAACCACCCCCTGTAAAAAGTTTTAGTTCTAAAAAATCTATTAAATTTTAAAGTTTGATGTGTGTAATGCTGGCTGTGCACAAGTTTATATTGCCGATAACTGGAAAACCGTAATAAAATTATTAGAGTGCTTCAGCTACATTGTGAAGACGGAAAGATTGTAAATAAAGTTTGATTCATTGATATATAAAATGTTTTCATTGTAATACAAAATCTCAATAAATATAATATTTTCTAGAAAGCGCAGATATAGGTAAGGGCAATCATAAGATTCTATACTATACTGAAATCTATTTTATATTGAAATTTAATTTTGCAAATTTACCTGAGGATACCAGTGCAGTATGTTTATGAAGTAAAGCAACTTTCTTACGACCTCGTCGGATCATCAAGAAAACTGTGCAAGCTAATGCAAGGGCCAAAACTGCCAAAGCTCCTGTGATTAAACCAACATAAGCTTGGGTGTGACCTAAAAATAAATGAATATATTAATAAAATTGTTATAATTAAAATAATATTAATAAAATTTCACCACATAAAATAAAGGTCAACTTTAAGAACTCACAATTCATAACAATATTTAGTAATTATAGAAAAAAATTCGAAAATCAATACAAAATTTTTTGATTGTTTTGACTACATATTTCTATTATCATTACCGACTGGTCCAGATCTCCTAGGAGTAATATCTTCCCGATGATTAAGATCTCCACTAATTTCTAAATCCCGCATTGGCGTATTTGTAGGAACATTTGACCCAACTGCATTATTCTGCTGAGCCGAAGCATCTTGCAAAAGATAATATTGCTCTAATATCTCATCTGTTAAATTTCCTATTACTGGTGCTGGAAAAAATAATAAAACATGAAAAATTAGATACAGATGTAATAACAGTTCTGTATAGTATGTAATAATAATTTTAGTAGATTGAAAATTTTAGAAATATATGACTCGACATGTATCTCTAGGAGAAGATGTGTATGGTATGTGTGTTGATGTATGAGCACATATAATATTCATGCACCACTCTACGATATTACAACACAAACCTGGTAGAACACAAAATCATATAACGTATGCTTTCCGCATATTTCCTTCTGTTTATAAATAATTTTATTAAATTGAATAATAGATACATGATGATAAAGCTGTTATTTGAACTCATTTGAATATCAATATAAATCATTTTATTAATAGTAATATCTATACAATATCACCATTATTACGAATTTTTATAGTTTCTAGATTAATTAAGCGTTTTGGTAGAGAAATAATTATATGATCAATTAGAATTAATAAACTCGAAAAATCACATAAGCTTGAAACAATTTAATTTTAGCAGTAGTATAATTTACTTAAATTCTAATATGTTATATGCTTTCAAAATATAGAAATACAATTTATATAATTTTGATTCATCACATTACATCTATCAAACGTATTATAACCAAAATCACTTCAGATACATTTATTATTCATGCTCAGCCTTCGGTAGAAGCTTTCGGGAGCTCCCTTACGTAACAAGTTTATGATATTAAATTTAGTATCGAAGTTCCACGAAGTTACATAAGCATGAAACATAAACTAGACATAAGGTAATGAAATGTATGTTTTACTAGAATTTTACGACGAAGTGTATTCGATGGTAAAATTAACAATTACCATTATGTAGCACACAACATCTGCTTAGTTGATATTTTATCTTATGGTATAAAGAAACTTAGTTGAATAAAATTTGCGAAGGTAGAAAAAGATTTTCATACTTAAGGATTACATATTATAGATATATTATTTTGCATAAGATTGTATAATTTATTTTAAAATAAACTGGGCAATGGAAAATTTCATTTATTATTGTACAATGATTCCACCCATTTATTTTTTAAGCGAAAAATGAAATAAAAATGACTGAGAATACCACGTATTTTTCCTAAATATAAAAATTACATTAATGAGAAATAAAAGATAATTATGACGAGATAAAAAACAATAAAACACAAAACGACTGCTTAGTCGAAAACATCAAAGTCCACATAAAAATTACACTTGATCTTAAAGCAAACAAAATAATTACCCCGGGCAGTTAGGTATAAACGCTAAAATATCTGAACATAATTCTCTCTCAAAGTTAAGTGCAGCTGTATGTTATTTCTTGATCTTTTAACAACGGAATCATCAAAAGAGGAGCTTAGACTGCAACTCTAATTGATGAGTATCAAAAGTGAAATAGGGACATAATTCCTGATACCGAAACATTCTGAGCGCTTTCAAAGGGGTTCCAACTTTAATACATCATAGGAGAAGCATTTTCTGTTATTGTAACAAAAGGTCGAAGATTAAACCCAGATCTCGATTTAACCTTCGGCGAACGTCGATCGAAAATTGTACGAGAAGTTCAAAATAAGCGGCTCGTTATTTTCGAGAGATTTACTGATCGCGGAAAGAAGGATTATTGAACTCCACTGTTGGAAAAGTTCGATTAAGGTAGCATAATGAAGTAGAGGTTCATTTAATATTAATGAATTTCAAAGCAAAATATTTACATAGATATAACACAGAAATATTTTAATTGTATTAGTAATAAAATAGTAGTTAAATCAAAAAAAAAATGTTATTGTTTTTAATCAACAATCAGTATTGCAAGTTCCATAGGCAGTTCAAATGATACTTTTCAATGCAGCTTTTTTAAGGCTATCCAATAGTTGTCCTGATAAATATATTTTATGTCAGAAGGCAAAACGCTGGTTGTCCCTTTTTTAATAGTAGTGATATATTTAAGCTTATTGTAGCAATAATGCTGAAAATGGCCATTTTTGCATTGAAACATATTTTGACACACAGTTTCAAGAGAAAATGGATATCATCGGGATATCAATGGTATATCAATACATATCGCAGACGGTAAAAGATAGCTTAAAAATTCATATACTTATCAGATATCATGCGAATTAACATTTATCTATTAACATTTATTTCAATATTCCAAACTGTTAGCAAATATCACAAATAACGCTATGAGTCATGATATACTTTCCTAATTTTTTGATGTGCTGAAAACTACAGAGTACATCCTATAATAGTAAATCTCTGAAAATCTCTTTCCTTCGATTAACTATCAGGTTGTTAGGTTATAATTTAACCTTTGTACCTGTGGACTGTATGAAATATTTATTTGTTGGTATAATTTACGTACATGTTGCTAGTTCTTATTACACTAATGATTCGTTTACTACACTAATGATAAGTTTAATTGAAGAAGATATATTTGTTGATTATTTCTATATATGTTGTTACGCGGACTATAGTTTTAGAAGTAAAAAAAATATGTCCGGTCCAAATCCGGTACCCCCTCTACAGGGAAGTAACGGTCCAGTGTAAAAGCTCAATGCCATGAAGTTTGCTGCCTTCATTGCCAATATAATAAAATAATAATACGTACGAACAGAATCGTAAATCTGCTAGAAACATTAAGTTGAAATTTAACATTACAATAGATCATAGAACATGCAGTTCTAATTGCTATGTAAATAAAAAAAAAACTTTAATATTTTGCATTAACAATTATTTTTATAATTTTTATGCCAATAAAAATGTAGTACTAATAAAATTCTCTTCTTACTTAAAAAACATATGCATTATATATTTACATTCGTTTCCATACGCGCGAATTCAGAACGAATAGAATAATAATCGTCAAATGAATAAAACTTGAGCGAGCGCAGCAGAAAATCTTGTCAGCGAGGATAACTCGGCAGATATGATGAAAAAGCGAGCAACGCGTTATATTATATTGTATCTAGTGGAACGGGTTTCCTTGTATTATGCAACATCCTAACGCCATTATCATATTTGAAATGTAAATATCAACGAGAGAGCACTCGTCATTGCCACTTCTCAAGTGAATCTCAAGACGCCAGTAAAGACGACAGAGAAACGAAACATTTTTAGAAAAATGAAACAAACAATTTTATTTAAATCATAACAAATTCGAGAATACATCCTTAGTCACACCTATAATTATAATCGATATTTTACTAATTATATAAGGATAAATTAGTTGATGTAGGGAAGACTGGTATTTTTTTGATCAGCAATATTTTTGCAAATTTACAAGTTATCTAGGAGAAAACCAAATTAACTGTTTTTTTGTACCATTTGGCAACGTCAAAATACTGAAATACTGTCCTTAGATACAATGGATTAGTCAAAACATCATACGAAGACGAATTTTCAACATAGATCAAAACATCAAAATAGGTGATCTATCTATATACAAATGATAAAAATTATTAAAAGAAATCGAACAAACAAACTTTTTTTGGCTCTTGAAAATCAATGTGGTCTACTGATCATGTTCATGTAGGATGCTGACCCCATGCATCAATGGAAACTTGTTCGAACAAACATAGTTCACTTTGGACCTTATCTCAAAATTTGTATAGTTTCGCTATTATGGCGACGGTCACTACAGTACTCAGTCTCCCCTAATAAGATTTAGAATTAATTTTTGGAAACAAAGACAAAAATGACAAAATGCATATTTTTATATAATATTTATCTAAAAATCAGTTCAAATACCCTGTGAAGCCCATTACGTAGCAATTTAACCTGATATGTGTGAATACGCAGAATATGCGAAGAATATTATCCACTCATCCGAGAGTGTTCTGGAGTGACTGGAAAAAAATGTGATTTTCACTTGTTGCTGAAATTTGCATCAAAATAAAATGATAAGTTTTCAATATGGATTGTAAGCCACAACTATATTATAGAATAAATCATATTAGATCCACATATATTCCTATCCACACATATATATATATATATATATATATATATATATATATATATATATCAATAGCAGTACAATTAAAAAAATATTAAAAATGGTGCTTTCAAATTCCATACATGTTTATTTTATTTCATTAATTTATTCAAATAAAATGAATGGCAATATTCATTTCTTATTTGAATAGAGGACTCCATGAATTTGAATAAAAATCCTAGTGGTGTTTCATTATCAGAAATTTATTCTTTTGTGCAACAGAATTTTGAAGGTAATATTAATGTAATCTAGCATAAATGCGATGCAAAAGTTATTTTATTTAAATTGTTAATTATGTATTTTTTGGTTTAGCTATATACTTTTTATGAACTGTATTTCCAATTATTCATAATTGAACACAGTTTTTAATTTTTAGCCAAATGATTCATTTATGTCATTTATATTTATCTCAACTTTTTGAAGTGTGAAGTTGTCATCAAATAATACTTAGAAATAGAAAATAAAGTCATACAAATAAAATATTATTAGTTCAATGATTCACTACATGTTTATTAAATCTTGAAGTATGGCGTTTCAAATAAAAGTCCGTACTCTACAAAGCGATATTTTATACTTAAAGTTAAACTGCACAAAGTCTGAAAAGCTGAAAGTTGAAAGATGTTGGTTACCTTGTTATTTCTTGCTGCAAGCAGCACAAATAAAATACTCTCTATGGAATATTCTTTTTCGTAAACATTTCTTCTGACAATGAAAATAGAAACCATTTTTATACATTAGAATTGAATTCATGATCTACGTTAATTAATAACTAGGTAAAAATAAGCCATGGTAATAATATTTCCATCCAATTACGAAAATCGTTCAATTATAACTTTTATCGATTACTCTCATCAGCAAATAAGTGAATAGTTATATCGCGAACCTCCTCTTCCAAGTGTGAGACGAATGGACGGCAATTTCGTTGGATATTGAAACTCTCTTCAGGAATTTTGTCTGAGTTGCTGTAACTGTCGCTAATTAATTATAAGTAAATACAGACAGAATCCGGCAGCGAACATT